TTCACCCTAAGAAGATCACATTTGATGAAGAAGCTGGATATGTAGAAAATTACAGTATAATTATTATAATAAAGATATGCACAAAGTGCTATGCTTTGCAGAGAAAGAAACAATTAACATGACTGGTATGTCTGATAGACAGTCTTTGAATGCTTTGATAAATTACATTTGACATGGATCTTGGATGATTAGCAGGGGAACTTTAGCTACAGATGGGAAAAAAAGGGTATCAGAGAAAGAAAGCAAGCCTATAAAAGGCAAAGAAAGACCAGACCACAGTTGAGGAATGTGGTTGAACATGAAGCTTTAAAGGTAAGGTGAGGCAAGATTGTGAAAGGTTTTATATTCCATGCCAAGGAGGCTACACTTATTTTGCAGGATAGAGGAAGACACTGAAAGACTTTAAATAGGTAAGTGTCACCAGGAGATTTGTGTTTAAGAACAGTAACATTGACACATCTGAAAGAAAATGCAATCATTCTCAACTTCAGGTGATTTGTCTCCCCAGTAGGCACTTGGAAAAGTGGGAATATTATCTGCATGTCATAATGACTAGGGCATGCTACTGGTATTTAGTAGGCAAAATCTAGGCATGTTTATGTCATATACTGCATGGAATAGTCTCTCATGAAAGAATATCCTTTCCCCAAAGGCAGTAGGACACTGACTAGGAAACACTGAATTGCTAATTTGGTAAACATTTACTAAATATTTTCATAGATGGAACATGTTAAAAATTTCTACTCACCTAGTTTTAAAAATAACCAGGAACAAATCCCTACTCAGAAATCACAGGAAGCAGTAAAAAGACTACTACCCAATTGGAGAGGGTTCCACTTCAAGTGATGGTCAAGAAGTTCTTTCACACCACCTGCCAACATATGAAATTACAAACCTTGGACAAAATTTTTAAAAATGAACTAGTCGAAAGTAATAGAAAACAACCAAAAGCAGGCTGATCCTACAGAGGAGTGAATAGTTAGAAGAAATAGCATTGGGTGAGTTTCCTATTTTTATAGCTCTTAGCCTGAGGGTACTCCTCACTCTGCATCATGTGGAGACTATAGTTGTACTGACTTGAAGAACCCGAGGACAGAGCTTGGGGTAATGGCAGCTGCTGGAAAATGCAGAGAGAAGTCCTGATAAGAAAAGGACCACAGAGAGAGCCCTAAATTCTGTGTATGACTGCCAAAACTGGCTGGTTTCCCAAGCATGCAAGTACAGAAGAGATTTCAACTACAATAGCCAGGTTAAAAAGCTGAACTAAAATTTGAGTTGCCACGAACTCTAGGGGAACCAGAGTTTGCGGCTGGGAGTTTGGCCAAGCTAACTAGCTGCTTTTTTTTTTTTTTTTTTTAAATTTATTTAAAAAAAGAAGGTTTTGGAGAAACAAATAAAAATCCAGGGTTTCTGCAACATTTTACTTACCATGTCCCAGCCACAATCTAAATTATTCAACATATGAAGAAACAGGAAAATGTAACCCATTCTTGAAAGAAAAGAAAATTAGAGAGGACTGACAATGAAATGATCCAGAATATTGAAATGAATATTGAATATATTAATTCAATATATTAAAACAAGAATTTTGAAAACTGAACATAGAAATACTCAATACTGAAATATTTAATATTAAAATATTAAATGTTAAAATAGACAAGTATTTAATATTGAAATAGAATACTGAAATGAGCCATCAAGTATCTTAAAGTAGCTACTATAACTATGCTAAAAGGGTGTAAGGAAAAATACACTTGCAGTGAATGAAAAGATAATCTCAGCACAGAAATATAAATTATAAAAACTAAGTAGAATTTCTAGAACTAAAACACACAATAATTACATAAAAGTTCATTGAATGGGTTTAAAAGAAAATGAGCACAGAAGAGTCAGTAAGTTGGACTATATAGATCAAGTGAAAAAATCCAATTGAAGAAAAAAGAGAAAAAAAGGGAAGAAAAAACAAGAGCTTCAAAACCTGTGAGACAATATCAAAAGGTCTAGCATATTCGTAAATGCAGTCCCAGGAGGAGAAGAGAAAATGAGGTCGAAAAAAAATATTTGATGAAATAAAGCACTCAGAGGAAAATTACATTTCTTCACAGGGGAAAAACTATTTGAACATTCCTCTTCTCATTGGAAACAATGGAGGTCAGGAAACTGGAACAACATCCTTAAAATGGCAAACGTGGGGTCGGGGGAAGTTAATCTAGAATTATGTATTCAGCAAAAATATTCCTCAGGAAGGAAAACAAAATAAAGACATTTTCAGATTTTAAAATTTGTCATACTTAATTTCCAGCAGATATGAACTATAGATGTTAAAGTTTTTCAGTTTGAAAGGAACGATGGTACAAGGAAACTTGGATTTTTCAGGAAGAAATAAGAGCATCAGAAATGATAATTTAGGTAAATATAAAAAAGCATTTTTTAAAAATTTAAAATATATATCTGTTCAAAGAAAATTATAACATATTGTGGAGTTTGTAACATGTACTATATGTAATACATTTAATAAGATAATGGATGAGGTGATAGGGTAAAGAGGCTTATATGGTTGTAAGTTTTTTATATTTCATGTCATATAGTACAATATTATCTGTAAATAGGCTGTAAAGTTGTGTATTTTGAACAGGGTTGGGTATGCCCAGGTATACATGCATTTGTGGAGACTCATTGACTAGTACACATAAATTTTACCTCAAACAAAAAAGCTGACCCGGCACAGTGGCTCACGCCTGTAATCCCAGCACTTTGGGAGGCTGAGGTGGGTGGAACACGAGGTCAGGAGATCGAGACCGTCCTGGTTAAGCAAGAAATGTGGTCTTGCTATGTTGCCCAGGCTGGTCTGAAACTCCCGGGCTCAAGCAATCTTCCCACCTTGGCCTCCCAAAGTGCTGGGATTACAGGCATGCGTCACTGTGCCTGGCCTGGTTAACGGTGAAACCCCATCTCTACTAATAATACAAAAAATTAGCTGGGCGTGGTGTAGTCCTGTAGTCCTGCGCGTGCCTGTAGTCCCAGCTACTTGGGAGACTGAGGCAGGAGAATCACTTGAACCTGGGAGGCGGAGGTTGCAGTGAGCTAAGATCGCGCCACTGGACTCCAGCCTGGGCGGCAAAGGGAGACTGTTTCAAAAAAAAAAAAAAAGAAAGAAAAGCTAAAAAAATGATCTCTAGCAAATGATATGCAAGTTAAAGTCTTTAGGAAGGAAGTTATATCTGAAACTTATTTTTAGCTGTATCAAAATGATTGATGGATAGAGGAATGAGAGGAATGGATAAACATGATTGAGTGAATACAGTAAAATTTTAATTGTAGAATCTAGGTGGTGAATATATAGGCATTCTTTGTAAAATATTTCCACTTTTCTATTTAAAAATTTTAAAACTTATTTTAAGTTTTATTGACACAGAGTCTCACTCTGTTGCCTAGGCTGGAGTGCAGTGGCAATCACCGCTCACTGCAACCTCAAACTCTTGGGTTCAGGCCATCCTCCTGCCTCAGCCTTCTGAGTAGCTAGGACTACAGACAGGTGTGTATAACCACGCCCGGCTAATTTTTTAATTTGTGGTAGAAATGTGGTCTTGCTATGTCACCCAGGCTGGTCTGAAACTCCTGGGCTCAAGCAATCCTCCCACCTTGGCTTCCCAAAGTGCTGGGATTACAGGCATGAGCCACTGTGCCTGGCCCCACTTTTCTATGTATTTGGAATTTTCCTAAGAAAATGTTGGAAAAGCAAATATTGCCAATCCACATTTATAATCAGGTCAGGGTAGAAAAATAAAGTGGTTAAAAGAAAAAAAGTTAGGAAATGGAGGATACAAAAAATGGAAGAGATAAAAGCTAAACCAGAAGCAGAGAGAACTGGATGGTAAGAGACAGGTATGAAGAAAAACAAAGAAGGAAAAATAGAAGGAGGTAGACGAAGGGAGAGGACAAAGTGTTAATCAGCGGAAACTAGGCACGATATTAAATAATAGTTATCACCACCCTTTGTCTTTTGAAATGTAATAAAGCAGTTTTGAAGTTAAAAATTAGAATTGTCATGGAATTCAAAATTATGCACATGTAAAATGATTTGGATATTTGCTTCAGAATCTTAGAAATCATTTACTATCAGTCTAAAAGTCCCTCAGACATTCAAAATTTGATTATCGTATGTCTTGTCCTTGAAAAATCTGTAGTACAACATTCCAGTTGTAATACTGACAACCACTTTTGACTAAGGGTCAGATTTGGAAGGAAGCCAGGATTCCATATCTCTAGTAAGGAGTTTCTAACTCCCTCAACTCCCTCCTCTAAACTAGCAGCTCATCCCATCACATACTATTTCATTCCTAAGGTTATGCGTTTTACTTGGAGGTCACTTTTAACTCACCATATAAATACACTGTTCTCTATCATTCTGCATATTTTAACTATTTATTTCATATAGTTGCTCTCCACTAAGCAGATTTTTTTCTTCTCAGTACCCAGTTATGTATTATCTGTGAGAGCAGGGCCCATGTCTAGTACCTCACACAGTGTTAACACATGTAAAGCCCTGGATAGATACTCACTGAACCAATGAGTAACGAGTGTTTACTGTTCTTCACAATATCTCTTCAATGGACTCTGAACAGGGATCATCAAGATTAGAAAAATAGTAAAGTTTGCATAATCACACCACATATAAACAAGCAAACATTTACCAGAGTTCTAATAATATTTTACTTTATTCCTATGAATATAAATCATAAATTTTGATCTTTTAAAAAATCCTAAATGGTTTAAAGGACTGACTGAGACTTGATTAACCCAGTTTTTAAAATAAAAAAACAAATTATAAATTTATATTATAAAAATAACTGCCAGTTTTGCATAGTAATATAGTAACAAATCAACACTCTTCAAAGTTTAAAGGAAAAGGAAGCTGGTATTGGTTTCTATCTGAAGTCAGATCTAATTTTAAGAAGAGAATAGTCTCAGATCAGAATCAAATAAATTTCAGAACTCAGTTTGAGAGAAAAGGAAAAACTTTAGTTAAAATCTTTACAATAAAATAATTATGACTATAAATCTCTTTAGTTAAATATGTACACATTACATGGTATTTGTATAAAGAATGGAAATGGATAAAGTTTTTCAGGCAAATCTAATGCACAAATACACCATCTTTTAGAGTATAATGTCAGTTTATCATTCTTTAACAGCTGTGTTAGACAATGGCTCTGCTTTGTGCAAAACATGATAAACAAAATTAGGAAAAATTCTGTAAAATTATTTAGTTCCCCAAGGAAATTACTAAAATAGAAAATGGCAAAAGAAAAAAAGGTTACACACTGAAGCTTGATTGTATACTCAGGCTACAATGACCAGCACTGATGTAACCCCCATATCTGCTAAGTCCTTGGGTAGCTTTAGTCTGAAGTAAAAACTTGAAGTCCTAGCAACTGTGCTTTTACGCAGCCACATGGCCAATAAGGTAGATATTGTCATAAAGATGCCCTACAAAATCTTCACTAATATTTTGAGCAGCGCGACGGGTATTTCGAATAAATTCTCTTTTTGACATTTTATTCTTCACATGAGGGCTAGTGAGGTCAATGGAAAGTAGAATCAAAGAGTAGCACAGTACATAGACAGCATCTGGAAGGAAAAAGAAACAGTTCAAATTATTAGTTGGTTTACAAAATATGATTCCAAGGACATAATGTAAGGCAAAAATGTTGATAATTTCAAGAGATCAAGATTAGCTCATAAATACAGAGTGACTAGTCCATGCAGTTTGTCTAGGCTCTTCCCAGTTTTGCATTGGAAGTCGTGTCATCCTGGGAAACTCAGTCCTGAGCAAACCAGGATGGTTATCATCCTATCTTAATACTAATTAAGCATGTATTTCCTTCATTTCAAAATAACTTTAGAACAGTTTAGGAGTGTACAGTAAAAATTCATTCTAGATTTAAAAAATTTAGAATTGCCTTTATTTTGTCTTTGCTTTCAAATGTGATATTTCTATTCAAACATCCATAAAATACATTTGTACTGTCAGTATTTAGCTCCTCCTTCTAAAAAAAATGTATATAGAATGCTTTTACAAAAACCCAATTTAATTGGAAAGCATCTTTAATGACAAGAAAACGTATTAATCTGGTACTAGAAAATAAAATGTAAATAACTCAAAAGATTATTAATATTCTCATTTAAGATACATGTTATAAAGGTCTGTGGAATTTACATGTTAATTTTTAAAGTAAATCTTTAGGGAAAAGACTGCTACACCTGAGCACCATGCAACAAGATTTTATATATGCTTAGGGTAATATTTGATGTTTAATATTAAAATAGTAACAAATATCATGATAGTTCTACTACTATGGAGCTGATATTTTGGAATCCTGCAGTCTTAAGAAAGCCAAGTTGAACATTATGTCATGTAAAGCATGCTCAACAAATTTCACATGACAGGAACAGTTTTGTAATATCTGTTTAATAAGATAAGCACAATAAAATTTTTGATATGAAAAGATAAGCTATACCAATTGAAAAAATATGTAGGAGATTCAGGCTATATCATATGCACACAAACATACACATATAGATAGAAGTACACACAAATAATGAAAACCAGTTGTATTAAAAACAAATTTTAGTGAAAAGTGGTGCTACCTATGATATGCAGATTATTAAAAGCTTTAAAAATAATTTCTCAAGTTTTCAATTAGACTAGTAGAAATACCTAACACCCAAACAAGAATAGTTTCTTAAAGAACTTATGTAGCTAAGTCTAACTTTCTTCTTAAAACAGTATGTGTGTGTGTGAATATATATGTACATGTATGTATATATGTGTATAGTTGTGTGCATATATACACACACACATATATACACACACATATACTGTTTTAATGGAAAGTAGAATCAAAGAGTATCACAGTAGATAGCATCTGGAAGGAAAAAGACTGCTTATATTGCATACATATTTTATGTATATGCATTCTATGTAATATGTGTATTATATGTATTCTAAGAAATTATATGTATATATACATATATACACATACACATACATGCATGATAGCTATGTCTATGCATATATGTATAAACATATATACAAATGTATATATATGTATTTACAAATTTAAATATGTACAAATGTCTATATACACATATGTACAAATATATATTACAAATTTATATATACAAATATCTATATATACATACATAGACATACAGACATATGTAACAAATGTATATATACAAATGCCTATATGTCTATATATATGTGTCTATATGCATGTCCAATAGACATTTGAATATATACAAATTTGTAATATATAAATTTTTATGTAATATATAAAAAATATAAATGACTATGTATACATAGTTATGTGTATTTATATACACACAAACACACACACACCATAGCTATGACAAACTGTTTTTTCTAAGCTCACATAAATGATGAAGTAGTCACTGCTACAAACAGTAAAACAAGTATTTGTAATTACTGAGAATATTTTTCCCCACAGTGAGACAAATGTCTCGTATGTCTCTGTTTTTACCTAAAAGTGGGCATGGGGTGATGTACTATTAATATATATATTCTTACCAGGACTAAGGCCAAGTTCTCGCATTAAATCAGGGTTACAAGCACAGAATCTATGTGAGAACTTTGTTATAAGAGTTTCAAGATACTCTCCACGCTCTTCAGGGGCATGGATATGACGAAAAAATTCTCTCAGTGCATTTGGCAAGAACTGATTTCTAAAATTATGCAATGTTACAAGGTCATCCAAGACATCTCTCCTATAGAAAGAAAAAAAGGCACAGCTTTAACTTTTCTTCATTAAAAAAACGGTGAGAAAAAAATAACAAATTTCCATTTTTTGGATAAAAATACCTTATTATTGATTACTAGATCAGTTAGTCCTACAGAAGTATGCATAATTCCCAATATTAAAAAAATCTAAGTATGATTATTTAAGACGTTAACTTTGAAATCCCTCATGAGTAGTTTATAACAAAATCAAACAAGGTAAAACCTAATTTTACCTCTATAATGAAAAAAAAGGAATTCTCTAGTATTAAAACGAACAACTTATTTTTAAGTGTCTTCTTGGCTAAATCCAAATAGCAATAGAATTGTTTATTTTTCAAATTATGAAAGTAATGAAAGTCTCCACCTACACCAATTCACATCTTCAGAGGTAAAAACTATTTACACAGACTTTTAAGAATGCCTACATACGCTATATATTGTTTTAGAATTTTTTTGCTTTTTTCACATAGTATATTGTGGACAGCTTTGTATATCTTTATACCTAGATCCACCTACGTTATTTTTAGTGGCTTCACAGTATCCTATTTAATGGACGCAACAATCCCATTGATATACATTTAGCTTATTTGCTATAATATAAATATTTGTGTGTGTATATGTAATTTTTAAAAAAAATCACTAGCATTCCAATATAGAGTGAAACTTTGTTACAATGGCCTTCAATTCTTATTGAACTCAGTCATGATTATATGATCATTATCTTCAACTTCTACCAATTGCATATAACAGGAATAGGCGAACTACAGCAACTGGGCCAAATCTGGCCTGCTGCCTGCTTTTGTAAATACAGCTTATTAGAACACATTCACACTAGTTTATGTATTGTCTATATCTGCTTTCACCACAGAATGGCAGAGTTTTAAGTAGCTGTGACAAAGATCATACGACCCACAAAACCTAAAATATTTACAAAAAGATCTGGTTCTTCACAAAAAAAAAAAAAAAAAGAAGAAGAAGAAACAAGAAAGAAAGAAAGGGAAAAGAAAGAAAAAAACCCCTGCCTATCCTTAGGTACTTAGTACTCAAAGATTTAAAAAAAACTTAATGATGTCATCTTTACATGTTTCAATGACCAGTATGCTGGACTATGAACTTCTTGATGACAGGGATTATATCTTAATCATCCATGTACTACTACTCTAGCAAAGTTTCTGGAATATTATGAACATTTACAGATTGTTCTTTAAAAATATTGAGATATACAAAAGTTTGAGAATTACAATGAAGGTAAACATATTTTGAAGCCATACATTAGATTCGCACGAGAGCTATAATTTTAAAAATGGTGGTTCAGTTATGTGGCATCAAAACGTTGTCCCAAAATTTAAGTTCATTAATAACCAAAAGTAAAGTGTACGAATGAATAACTATCAAATCAGAACAGCATACTAACCATCATCTCTGTGTAAAACACTGCTAAATGTTACATTTTCATAATTTTCTCACTTGAACATGACATTTCTGTATAGTGTCTACATGCAAATATATATACCTTATATCCCTAGGATTTGGGGTTTATGACCATAATCTGTCTTTGTACTAGCTTTTTTATATGGATAATTTCGTAATTTAGAATTTTTACCAATATAAACACTTAGATTATGGCTACTTTTAAAAAATCAGGGTTGCAGATTCCTGAAAAATATTTTGTTTTGGTTTGCTACTACAAAGACGTTGGGCTTCCATTTTGTGTGGACTTTTACTTTTAAAATGGTAACTTCCTCATCAACAAGTTAAAGCTCATAAAAGAAATGATGTATGAGATATAGGAATCTTTTCCCTGTCTTTACTCAATTTTGCAACCAGATGATTATTATGCAGTATTAAAGTAAAACTTAACTCATCAAAAACATTACTCAACTCATTTTGGATGAAAAGTTAATTTTTGTCTTTACCTTTCATCAAGATAGATTCTCAGTTTTTTCCAATTTAGTGTTCTTGTACAGAAGATAAACTTTGCTATTTCCTTTGGCGAATCATCTAGGATACCCTTGGACATAAAGTAGTTCACTCCCTAAAGCAGAAAGACAAGTCCACATAAATAAAATTGCTCTTTATTTATATATTTTAACAATTAAGCAATAGCAGAAGAGTAGCTATAAATTGTTTCCAGTATTAATAGACTTTTTGTAGCTTTATCATGCAAAATACAAGCTAGAACTTGGACTGAAATTATTGTTTGTGGTTGATAGTTTACATGCAATGAAAAGCAGGAAATTCAAAGTTAAGACTGTTAAAGAAATCTTATTTAATTTTCTGGCTCATGTCAGGTAAAACTAACTATACAGAAATATGGCCTAATTTGGGGAAGGGGGCTGCAGATGAAACCACAATACAGACATAAAACAAGCTTTGTAACAAACACTTCTGATGTCTAATAGAACACATGATTTCTTAAAAGTTCACATATATATTGTAGTATGCCTTTCAAGGAAATAGTTTTTTTATTAAAAAAATACTCCAAATGAAAAACTAGTGATTTTATTCTAGAAGAAAAATATTAAATTATTTAACTTAAAGGAGGCCCAACTCCAGGCTAATTTATAGGTTGTACTACTTTGGCTTTAAACATTGCTATATTCTACAAGAACCTAGCTACAATACACACTGAGGGAAAACATATTAAGACAAAACAATTCAGTGTTTTTCATAGAATTTATCTTTGAATTTCCTTTTCTCTGCATGCAAAGTTTTCCAGAGAAGCATTACCCATAAGTTTTTACCTACTTTAGATTTAAACCACCAACAACAAAACACCACCAACAACAAAAAAAATCAAATGCTGAAAACAGTATTCTCTCACATATACAGAGGTCACATTCAAATAAATGTCTTAGCTGGATTTGAATGTGCAGTTATTGAAATAAAAGGCAGGTGGGTTTATTTCAACTTGCAGTTATCCAGATACATGCATTCCCATGAATACTTATGTCTGGATACTAGCACACTATGTGCCGCTAATTGGTAGAGAAAATGACGTATTATATACACACAACATAATGTTTTCACACATAAATTCCTTTGGCATTTCTTCACTTTACAAACACTTACATAGTACTCAGAAATATTACACACATTAAGAATTTTAAAAGTTGGAAGAATATCTATAAAAACCTTTTCAAGATAAAAACGTTCTCATAAAACTTTTACGGCAAACTTTTTTTTTAAGTAGTTAGGTACCACGAGGTAATGCTTTTGAAAGGTTATAATTATCTGTAAGTTGTAATTCAAAGATAAGGCTTTTTATATAAAACTAACTTTATGAGCCATCAACATAATAGCCTACTAGCAATTTGATCAAATTTTCATGTGAATTTTAATAATACAAAAGCAATGCTAAGGCACTGATTTTAAAAATGTACATGAAGAAAAGCAAAATGTGGTAACGTGAAACTTTCTTGTCAACTCTGTTGTAACCTGTATTTCAGACTAAATCCTGAATACAAGGACTAGAAAATGTAATATGATAAGATGGAAAGCCAAAATACTTCTTTGGAATGAGGCTTTCATCAACTGTCCGAGGGGGCAGCAACTAGAAAACCATTAATGTTTGTTCTATCCTTTCCTTCATTAGTTTGAATAATCGAGAGTTGACTGTATACTCAATCTGCTTAGCAAAAGTCAGGTTTAATTGCTTCCAAAATTCCTCAGTGTAGAAGGGTAACAATATTTTAGAATTATTTCCAGTATTTAACTTTAATTGAAATGATTAAAAACAATGTCAATTAAGTATATTTAATAGATTCTTTATTCATACCTAAATCAGTATCTGAGATGTAGAACTAATGCTAAGCTACTTTTTAAAAATTGTACAAAATAAACAAACCTACTAATACTATACATTAATGATATCTAATTCTCTAGTTATGTAATCTATGCCACTTTAATATCATTTGGTGATACTTAGTTATAAATGAACATTGGTATTTGCCTCATGTAAACATCATAAAAATACACTGTTAGCCATATTCTGTTTTATAAAAAACACATGTTGAGAATTTTACATCTAATCTAACCTGAGTTCTCCCAAATCAATCAAATACATAGGAGCAGGCATGAGCACAAAGAATTGTTAAATTCAATCCTGGAAACTGGGAACACAGTTTGAAATAAGCCAACTCTATTGGTTTTATGAGGAAAAGAGGCATCAGCTTCAAGCTTGGGATTCCTTTGGAGAGGAAGGTTACTTTAGAAGGGCTACCAAAGTGAATGGTAAAGGAATAACAAATACAAAAAGACAAGAGACCAGATTATAACTGTCTCTAATAAGCAAGTTGGAAGTCATCCAAATTCTCATCTTCTTATATTTTAGGTTGGTGTGAAAGTGATTGCGGGTTTTTGCCATTAAAAGTAATGTCAAAAAACCGCAATCACTTTCACACCAACCTACAATTAAATATAAAAAAATACCACAGCATGAGGTCTGTTGAATAACTATACATTTGTTTAGTAAGTGGTATAAGCATTTTTAAAAGTAAAATTTTAGAAGAATGGTAGGGAAACTCCTAGACCACATAGCATATCAGTGATTAGTCAGGACTAGAACTCAGAGCAGTGTGTATGTGCATGGGCATCTGTGCAGTGTCTCACATGCAAAGGAAATCATGAGTCTAGATTAATATATATATAGTATTCTAAAGAAGGAAGGTTGTAGCTCAGTATAGTCTACATAATTGACTATAAAAGTTTCCAATTTTGTGTGTCACCTTTTATGAGGCATACTGACAAATTAGGACTTATCTGGATAAAGGAAATCAAGACCCAGTGAGATTGTTGAAGGGTGTAGAATTCATGTTATGTAAGAAAGAGCTGAGGGATGCAGGAGTATTAGGTCAGAGAAGAAGACATACTTAGGAAAGAAGAAAAGATTAAGACTTTAGGATATCTAAAAGGCTGTGTCACAAGGACAAGAGAAAAGATGTGTGTAGTGGTAGTGAAGATGTTAAGCTATTTTGGGGGGTTATGGACCCTTTTGAGTACTAGGAAAGTCACAGAACTTCTTCCCAGAATAATGCAAGTACACATTTTTTAAAACAGAAATTGAATTCCATCTAAGGAGCACAGGTTACAAATCCCTATCCTAGATGAGTATAGAAGTCAAGTCAGGAAATGTCACTTATAGGCAGACAGGTTAGTACCACATAAGGAAGGGAATCCTTGTAATTTCAGTTGAGCTGTTCAAAGACCAATCATTTGTCTTTGCTTGATTCAATTTTTGTTGTTGTTGTTTTTACATTTTCAAAATAAGATTAAGCTTCAAACTCAGAACTACTTAAATTTGACTGTTTAATCTATACACATTTTAACTCCCATTTGCAACTCTGTCCAACTTTTAGAATTATCTAAATTGTTGCAGTCATAATGTAGTTCCTTTTTTTGCATGTGAGGAGAATTCTGAGACAGTTTTGTCAGATAACTCTGAGATGAATCATGATGGTGTCAGTACTATAATGGGCTGAAACTATCATGATTGATCTCAGTTATCTCCAAGCACAGAGATCAGCTCTTGTCAGGGGAAAGGAAACTATTAGCCAAAATATATTTAAAAAAAAAAAGTTTTAAAGGATAGTTACAGTGGGGTAAATAAAATTCCTCTTATTAAAATAGATATTAGGCCTCATATTTCTTGGGAAAATAAACTGGTAAATAATGTTCATGCTACTAATTATAAATTTCATAGTCATTTGATTTTTTTTTAAAAAAGTATCCAGTTCACTTTACATTTAGATAGAAACATGAATGCCTAAAGACTAGCTTGTAAAATAGATATATGTATATCTATGCATATTTACATATATATATCTGCTTTAAAATGTTTTTTAAAACATGAACTAATACATTAACATTGTCTACATTTTATTTTTGAAATATATTAAACACAAGGTGTGATAGGCAAGGTATTCAGTGATAGACACTGAGTAGTGTAACACAGTTTTGCCCTAAGAAAATTTAAGTTTATATGTGGCAATAAGACACGTACATAAACATCTAGAATACACACTTGTGCCAAGGTGCATCAATAGTACATGGCAGTAGAAGAAAATCTAAATGAATGCTTATGAAAAGTGTTTCAGTAGTTCACTGAAAGGAAAAAAAGTCACTATGGGATAGGACATTTGGATAAGGTTTCCTGCTAGAGATTAGACTGATGTAAGGGGTTTAGACAAGGAACGTAAGGGGTTTAGACAGCTCTGAATGAGGAGAACACGGGAGAAGAATGCTCCAGTTAATACTATATTATATGAGCAAAAGTAATATAAAATTTTTAAAGACTATTTTTAGGAAGGAGGGGGAAATATTTTGGGTTGGAGAGTAAGTCTACAACCAGACTATGACAGTGACAGAAATAGCGCTGTATTTTAGGGTAAGAAGTTTATTCTCTATCCTAAATCTAACTGGAAGCCTCTGAAGGCTTTTAAACCTGATGAAGCAATGGGCTACAATGTGAATTTGGCAGCAATATAAAGAGAAATAACGAAAGAAAAATTAGACAGTGGGCCATTCAGCAGAGCACTCAATAAATAGATAGTAGGCTGTACCACTGTCCAGGTTTGAACATATGAAAAAGCACTAGAAATATGCTACATATATGAAAATAACTTGATAAATATGCTGGCTATCAAGCCATGTGACAGTGAAAAGTGAAAGACAGCTGATGGCTCTGGCTTAGATGAAGAGGGAAATGACTGACAGAAAATAATAGGTAAAAAAAGTCATAGAGCGCATTGATTTGAAGAAAACAGTGATGAGTTAGCTTTTAGAAATGTTGAATTTTAGGTGATGACAGATATAACTAGAAAGGCATAGTAGGTAGCTGGTAATGTAATAGGATATATTTTAAAAGTGAGGGTTGAAGATACAGATTCAGGATCCTGGATAAGAAATATCAGTAAGGGAGTAATGAAGAAAAGGATAGAATAATGTTCCAGAGGCCAAGAGCCTTTGAGTTAAAGAACAGGGTGTCTAGTGCAATTATGCAGTATGATGGAAAGAGCATCATTTTTAGGACAGGGA